GTTCATGGTCTTCCCCACGAGGCGAGACCGTCCAAGCTACGAATGGATGTCCAACTCCATGTTTGAAGAAACCGGATCCAGTTCACCCTTGGCATTGAGCAGTTTGCATTCAATGTTCACGGGTTGGGCAGGTATGGAAAAAAACAAAAACAAAAAAAAACGCATAGGATGCTGACCGAACCCAATTCGGGAATTCACCGAAACTTGTTTCACCCAGGCACACAGATGTGGGTGGGTCGCAACCAATTGGGGGAACCCCCAAAAGGAAATCTTCGACATGGTGGTGCCCCTGCTGGCCAATCCATAAAAGCACCCTGGCGCGCGGGCAAATTCTGGCATAGGGCTCAAGCAGTCCGAAGCTCGAACCTGCTTTTGCCCAAAACAAGACATGTTTGATGTCCGGCGAATGCCTACTAAATCTCAAAATTTGAAGTGAATTCAAAAAGAGATCGGAGCAGATGCTTCACCCCAAGTGCGCTGACTGGGTGTTACATAGAAGGGCCGGACATTTGTTTGTTTAAAGCTCATTCCCTCCGTTTGGTTTCCTTCTGGGGCAGTTGGCTATTTATTTTTTTCGCACCCGGTCAAGCTTCTGGCCCAGAAATTCAAGCGAATGTCCATAATTAGCGAACCTTAACATGCAAACACACCCCAAAAGAGAGATCCCAGTACAAGTGCTTTGAGTTCCATATGGGTGTCATTATGTAGGGGACCCCACAAATTGTGAATACACCCCCCAAAAAAAGCTATCCTCCAAAAAAGACGCGACACACATCATGAAGACTCAAAGGAGGTTCCTGTACGGAAAAGTGACCTGACTTCCATTTATCAAGTAATTCCCCAGAGTGGATGGGCGCATTTCTGCACCTCAACTTGAAACCCTGCTGGTAAACCCTTGTCCGCTGGCATTTCCCGAAACAGCGAGGTTTCCAGTTGCGTTCTCGAAAGGAACCGGGGCCCCAAACGCGGGATCGCTGGGTCCAGGGTCGGCCCCTTCAAATCCAAACCGATGCAAGCCTGACGGATTAGTGCACAAATGCCTGCCCGCCGGACCCCGTTTTGTTTGTTTTGTTTAAAGAAAGCCGGGTTGCCAGGAAACCAACTCTGTGGAATTTCACAAAACCCTGCATCCTGCAGCGCCTAAGAAACCATGGCGTTCGTTGGTATTTGCAAGGGACTCCTCCTTCCAGGCCTTCGCAGCCACCCAGCCAATGGCCGGCTGGGTATGGATCAAAACGAAACCAGAGGACCGCTGGTTTTAGTCTTTGTTTCCATTTCCAAGGGTTCCATTTTGGGTAATTACCTAATGGTACCATTTTGGTTGGTAGGTGAATTCGCCACACATATTTTTGTGGTTGGATTGGGTCCTGTTCACTTGGGGTACGGGCTTTTGGGTTTTGACCCATGGCTCAAAAAAGTGATACCTATTGAGCCAATCGCCAGTTACCCTACTTTGGTTAAAACCAATGGTACCATTTTGGTTGGTAGGTGAATTCACCACCCGTGTTAGTTTATCTAAGTGGGTCCCGATTGGGTCCCGTTCGCTGAGGGGCAATTACGGGCTTTGGGTTTTGACCCATGGCTACCCGTGGCCAGCTGAGCGTCATGTTGCTGAGGTTCTCCTTGGCGCCGGCGTCCTGCGCCGCTAGCTTGTGCTCCATCTCCTCCAGGCGGGAGAACTCCAGGCGCCGTCGCGACAGCTCCTGCTCCAAGCCTGGGCCACGGTCAAATGGGTCACCATCAAAAGGAGGAGGAGGACTGGGGTTGGGGGGGGGAGCTTGTTTTGGCGTTCCCCCACAATCAGGTTACTCCATGTCATGACAATGTCTAGGTCCTCCAGTAGGGAGGTTAGAGTCAAACCGTTTTCTGATCCCCCGCCAAAAGTGATGAACTTTTAGTGGGTTAAATGCGGAAACTACTACCAAACACTAAAAGGCTAGATGGCTAGTAAGGAACCGGACGGCTAATGCCACTGTCAACTGGGTCCTCCAGATTTGAGAGGTTAGAATAAGTTGGTACCCGATTTCTGTCACTTTTGTCTATTTCAGTAGGGGACCCCTCCCCACCAAAACAGGGTACAGAAAGGCACTGCTCGGGGACCTAGTCAAGTGAGTCACCGCCTCAAAACCCGGAGGTAAAATGGCCAGAGCCATGAAAAGAAGTACCAAGACGGCCGCGCCCATTTATGGCTGGGATTTTCTCGTATTAACCTTCATCTACCTGGGTTTTGATTGTGGCTTAAGGGCTGGACAGCCCACGGATACGGAACCAGCTACAGGAAAGTTAAATTGCCAAATACCCGCCAGATGTAGAAATTACTGCCGCTAAATCCTTATAGGCATAATGATGTTCCCTTTGCTAGCCACTTATCTGGCAACCCTGAATTGGTTGTTTGGATTGGTGGCTTGGGATTTGAATCTCAGTGCCTATTGAAACCAAATGGAGAAAGCGGCCCCTAACCTCCAAGCCACCAAACCCAAAAACAAATTCGGGAGAAGCTGAATTTCGAACCCCGAGCTGGGTACCCTGAAAATCAACCCCCTCCATTGAGCTGGAACCTGCTACGAAGGACAGATGGGCCTAGGGTTCCGGGCGATTCAACTTTCACCGAACTCCCCTTCAAACCACTCCCGCCCAAAACAGTTGGTCACAAACATCATGTCCACCAAAGGAGTCGTTGAATCCTGGAAAAACCAAACAACATGTCGGGATTGACTTAGTTAAGTAGTACACAAAGAAGGAAGCAAGCGCCACTGGACAGCTGAGGAGCTGTCAAACCGCTTGGACAGCTCAGCTAGCCCCTGTGATTGATCCGCGCCCTGAGAGTTCGTCGCGCCATCCTCAAACCGCTTCACGATGTTTGACAAATCGTCATGCCCTTTGCGCGCCATCTGAATTTGCTTCTCCAAGTCGTCCATGCGCTGGGACATGTCGGGGGAGCTTTGCTGCCCTTCCTGGCCATTCTCAGCTTGGGTCTTCTTTTCCATGTTAGCCACGCGTGTCATCAAGTTGGCAAAGTCTTCCTGCCTGGCAGATTCCTTGGGTGCAGCCTGAATTTGCTTCTCCAAGTCGTCCATGCGCTGGAACATGTCCTGCTGCCCTGCGTGGCCATTCTCAGCCCGGGTCTTCTGTTCCATATTAGCCACGCGCGTCATCAAGTTGGAAAAATCAGCCTGCCTGACAGATTCGTTTGGTGCAGCCTTAACTTGCTTCTCCAAGTCGTCCATGCGCTGGAACATGTCATTATCAGAGCCGGTCTTCTTTTCCAAATCCGCCACACGTGTCATCAATCTGGAGAACTCAGCCTCTTTGCTAGCTGCGTTCAGTGAAGCCTTGACCTGCTTCTCCAAGTCGTCCATGCGCTGGAACATGTCAAAGGGCGTGTCCTGCTGCCCATTCTGGCCAATCGCAGCGTCGGCCTTCTTTTCCAAATCCGCCACGCGTGTCAACAAATTGGAGAACTCAGCCTGCCTGCCAGCTTCGTTCGGTGCAGCCTGAATTTGCTTCTCCAAGTCATCCATGCGCTGGGACATGGTAGATATGGAGCCCGGCTGCCCAATCTGGCAAGTCTCAGCCTGGGGCGTTCTTTCCAAATCATCCAAGCGCTTCGCCAGGCATTTCATCGTGTTGGCAAGTTCTTCATGTTGTCCCGTCCTTGGTCAAGCAAACCTTATGACGCGAAATTACACTTTCCGACGCTCTGCTCAAGCCTAGCAGGTAAAACCCACGTCCTCGACCTTTCCCAGCGCAGGGAAGTGATGAAAATGAACATCCCCAAGTAGACCCCAGCCGGGTGATTTGGCAATTCCACGGGGTCCCAACCAAACAGTTCAGCGAAACTGTGATTGGCGGTTTGGATTGGTGGCTTGAGATTGTGAACCCCAAGTTGCTGAGTGACCACGCAGGAGGGCCTTCCCTCCCCTCCAAACCGATCAAGCTGAGCTATCCTGGCGACGCTGCGAATGCCCTTGGCGCTGAGCCAATTGGACCGGCGGACACCAAACAAGAACGGCGTCGCAGAGCCCGGCAATCACAAGAAAATAATGATGAAGCAAGAGGAGGAGGAGGAGGAGGAGGAGGAGGAGGAGGAGGAGGAGAAGGAGAAGAAGAAGAAGACACATGAGGGAAAAGCAGGGCAGCAAAGCCATAATGCGACTTAGCCAGCTAAGAAGAATCAGGAGAAGAGGAGAACAACAACAGTAAGCCATACTGATAAAAGGAGTAATGTCAAACATGAAAGCAAGATATCCGAAAAAAAAAAAAAAAGAAGAAGGAAGAAACAAAAAGAAACAACAAGCCAAGAAGCCGCATGGCACCACCAGCGAACAATAACTGCACTAACTCCCCCACAGCTTCCGAGGTGCGCGGCAGGGTCCAAGTCCGGGCGGGAACAGGCGTTGAATGCCTGCAATGGGCAGGATGAACCAACTCCCTGGAATCCACACGCTCCGAATTCCTTTTCGGGGGCTTGCAAAACAGCAATACTCGACTGGCCAACATGCCAAGGGTTGGGAAGTTGGATGGTTCACAGGGTGAACATACCAAGGGTTGGGAATCTGGTTGAGTAATAGTGCATCCTTCACTTCTTGCGTTTGATAGATCCGGGCCGGCCTTGCCCTTCCAATATTGACATTTGCCGCTGGCTGCCACATAGTAAACCTAAAGAAAGCCAACAATCAATTGACACACTCAAGAACTGCAGTGCTTCTGCAAGAGGGAAGAAGACTAGTTGCAGCCAGTGAGCCCGCTACAAAACAACTGGAAGCGAAGGAAAACCACACCCTTTTTCTGCGGGGTTGGGGGGGGGGGTTGAAATCCCGAACTTTGAAACAAACGAAAGTTATTGTCTCTCAAAATCCTAGCTGTTGGATTCCGAATGGGCTGGGCGCGGCGTGCTGCGCGCTGCAAAGTGGGTATGCCTTCTGGAACCTGCTGCTTGCTTTATTTTTTGGAAATGGAACCCAAAAGGAAGCCAGCCATTTCTGCCCCGCTCCCTCCCCATATGTCCCTGTGTTCAAATCACCTAAAGCGGAACTCACCCAAAATTGGCCCAAACAAGTGATGTTGAAAACCACCCAAAGCGGAAATATAAGAGGCAACCTGTTTTGAGGGCGTTTCACAATAGGGGCCCCCATAACATGTCTGGCCTTTTTTTGGTTTGCCAACCAAAAGGGGCTCCACCACGTGGGTATGAGTCAAACTAGGGGGTCCGGCTGAAACAGTTTGCTGCCAGTTCCTTTTGCTTGCAGGCTCTGAACTCCTCCACGCAACAAAGGACCAGTGAAGTCAAGCACATATAAACGTGCAAACCAATCGCAATATGCAAACAGATGTAAACCATCGCAACATGTAGCAATCGTTGTGCCTTTCCAGAACTACGCTGCACGCTGAGGCCCGTTTCCGTTCCCCCCCTCCCCCCTCCCCCCCGGCGCCCAATGGAAGAAAAATCAGAGGTGGATCCTGGGCCCCTGCTTAAATTCCATTCGGATCCTGGTATCCCGGTCCCTCGAGCCACCAACTTTCTATCCATGTATCTATACCTCTTGTGCCCACCTTCCCGCTAAACAAGACATGTTGCGGTTAGACCCATGTTGCCGTCAACCCATCAGCTCCCCTCTCACATTTCCATCTAGCCCGCCTCCAGCAGCGCTAACCTCCGCGAGAAGTCGTCCAGCTCAGTCAACGCTTTTTCCAGTCGACCGAGGTCAACGGACTTCATGTTGACCTCAGCGGCACAGACATCTGACGCCCAGCCCGAGCCCCCCAAAACCATGTGGAGGGTGAAATGAAGGGTCTCGAAAACTCTTTTGCGCACTATTTGGCACCTACATGTATCACAATGAAAGAGAACGCCTGGAATAGGACCGGTGTGTTTGTTTTCCTTTGGTTGCAATTTACGGCCGCCCCAAAACAGCGTACCGTGCGTTCAACAGGTGCTGGGGCTTAAGCAGAGTTCACCGGGGCTTGCCAGCCTGGCTATCTTCACACCACATGAGCAGCACGCGCTCCGAAGTGCCAAGTTCAACTCACCACTTTCAAGTTACAGGGCCGCTGGGTTTCTCCAAAAACTGATCAGTTTTACTGGTGCGAAACCTCTGCATTCACTAGAAGTTGAAGTGGACGTTCGGCATGAAGATCCTTGGAAATGGCTCAGGGAACTCTCATCTGAACATTAGCGACCCCCCAAATTGCGGTTTTCCTTTAGGTTTCCTCTTGAAAACAACTAAATAGGGGGTTTCCTAAAATGCCCATTTGAGGTAAACTAAACCAACATATATAAGGGCAAGTTGGCCCGCCAGTGCCGAGGGGCTTCTGACGCGCCCGGCTCATTGCACCGCTCATTCTTGCACTCCTCTGGTGTCCTCGGTGCACTGCGAGGAACATGCATGAAGAATGAAGCCAGTGCCAGTACTGCAAGTAGGGAACAAAGGAAACCCAACGTAAATTCAACGCAGGTTGGTTTACTTGCAATATGTCAGCACCATGCACCGTGTCATTTCTGCTCCCATTTTTCGCCTTCCCGGCCTTTTCACATGGAACCGTTGGACGTCCGCGGGGCTCCCCGGCTTGGACCGTTGTCCCTTTTTCAAGAACCCCCCCCCCGTGTCAATTTGGTTCCTTTCGGTTTCCCTTGAAAACCACCAAGGGGGTACGCTCGCATAGATTGTTGAAGGGGTCCCACCAAATTCATCCCCCAAATCCGGATTTTTCATGTGATTCGGGGGTTACACAGGTTCTTCCTATTTTACCCGTATTTAAGCGTATTAAAGCTTGTTAAAGCTTATTAAAGTTTATTAAAGCATATTCAAGTTGATTAAAGCTTATTAAACAAGCTGATGTCCATGTTATTTTTGCAAGACTTATTACACTTTAATAAGGGCAACATAGTAGCAACATAAGGTCTGAGATTCAGGGCCGTCATAGCCTTTGTTCCCTTGCCCTGAGTTCCATTGGAGATGATGCCAGAACTGAGCCCACTCAAGGACAACGGCCATTTTGGGGTAATGTTTGAACTGTCTGGCTTTTCTGGGGCTGAGTCACTTACCGGCAGGTATGGTCCTATTCATGCGCGCGCTGTCGGGAATGCTGCGCAGCTGGCTAGAGACCGGAAAATGCGTTGCTAGTGCCAGCTATTGAGGGCTTATTTTGGGCTTATTTTGGGCTTATTAAAGCTTTTTAAAGTTTATTAAAGCTTTTTAAAGTTTATTAAAGCTTTGTAAAGTTTATTAAAGCTTTTTAAAGTTTATTAAAGGTTATTTAGTGTTATGTTGTGTATATTTTGCGCTTATGTTGCGCTTGTGTGGTGCTTGTGTTGTGCTTATGTTGCGCTTATGTTGCGCTTATTTTGCGCTGATATTGCGCCTGTTTGAAGCGCCCTGTGCATTTCCTGCTCTTGTGCACTCTCCCGCCAGCCCCGCTGATTCCGGTGCCGGTGCTGATGTTGTCATTGTTGGCCTGGCTCTTGTAGTTATTGCTGCTGCTTTTGCTGAACCAATGCAATTGCGTGCGCATGTCTGACAATCAGAATTCTGAAGCGTGACGTGACTCCTCCTGCTATTTTGGGTTTATAAAAATATGGGGATTTGAGGGGGTGGATTTGGGGGGACCCATTTGATTCAGGGTTCAACCCCCCCAAATCAGTCCAAACCCCTCAACTGATGGTTGCCTGATTTCATGAGCCCCCGTCATGTCCATTTCCGCGAAGCTGCGCAAAGGCTTGGCCCCGCTGAACCTCTTCCTCCGCTTCCTCCGGCGCATGAGGCGGCTCTGGTGATGAGCTGCCTGAGATCGGGGCAGGGAAAACTCAGCTCCCATCTCGTCCGTTCCTGGCTCTCAGGCTGTGTGAGTAGCCCAATCCCTGTTGGTTTTCCTGTGGGTGGGAGAGGTGGGGAGCCCCAAAAAAGCCCTTGAGGGCTTAGGCTTAAGCCCGTCCCTCCCCCCCACCACCCTCCCCCCTCAGCCTCCATGATAACTTAAAAAAATCAGACCGTCTATTTCCCCAAAATAACACCAGGCTTCCGCAGGCTATAGCCCAGCTGCGCGCACGCGGAGACGGAGCTTTTGGAGAGACGATATCTCGGGCTTCATCCGGTGCGGACGGGGGCTCCTGAGAAGTGGTCCTTATTGGTTGGTCACTCAAAATGGGTGTAACCAGACGAAAGTTCATCCAATAGGTTATTCTTCCTTTAAACTAACCAGAGCAGGGTGGGCTTAAATATTTAGAGTATGTTTGTGGGGGACCTGTGGGGGACCTTGTGGATTTCAGTCAAACTAACCAGAGCAGTGTGGTATAAGAATATGTTTCTGGGGGACATTTGACACCATTAAATCATGATCATCGACTATATAGATATACATATGTTGTAAGAGACTGTGTGTGCGGTTTTATCTAGCCCTATACACAAAGGCCCTTATTGCGTTTCATTATTTAGCCATATTTAGCCCTGTATTAGCCCCTTATTGTTTAGCTCCTTAATATTACCCTCCAACAAAAACAAACCACAAAAATACGCCGGTTCCAGGGTTCCTTGTCACGCCTTCGAGCAGCATCGCCGGGTGCGTATTAAAGGCCTCCCAGGCTCCTGCAAACCTCGCAAACAAAAAACAAACACATGCGCTGCAACTTTAGATGGACGAGATCCTGCAACACCCAAGAACCCTGGAATGATGACTCCCCTGTACATACCAAGGAACAATGGTTGCAATCATGGTTTCAAAGTGGTTTGAACGGATTTCGTCCAGCCACTGTTTCTTACTGATGAAAGCAGAGGAAGACTACCCTCGATAGAAACACTCACACATGACATCGAAAACTCAGCAAAGGCTACAGGCATTCGGACTGAAATGTGAGGCTATGTCACCACCTAATTTCATTTTTCGAGTAGTGAGACGCACATAAATCTCAGACATCTCACGCAAAACAACATATACTCCTTACTGCAGTCCTCCAAAATCATGTTGATCCCGGAAAAACACCTGTTTATTGATATGGGGGGGAGTTCCGATTGAAAAGTGATGAATCTCCACTAAAGCCAGGGACACCCCCATATTAATAGACAGTGGCTTATTAATCTAGGATCCACATTACTCCCAGATTGATGTACCTAACTAAACATCCTCACCCTCCCCACCCGCTCCGGCAGGGTCATCATGGCGCCCGGCTCGCGGGATTCGGCGTTGAAGGATCCGACAGCGACCTAAAACCGCCCCAGTCGGGTCAAAGGGGCCCGTCCAATGGAAAATCCGCCGCTTCGTGTTTCGCTGATGATGGACTACGGAACTAACACCTTCATCATGGATTTGTACGTGTGTATGTGTATATATATATATATGTATGTGTGTGTGCATGCATGCATGTGTGTCTCTGTGCGGAGAAAACATGCACATGTACATATCTGGATGTATGTCTACGTGTCGATGCAGACATATATATATATATATAAATATAAAAACATATACATATACACACATACACACGCCCCTTTGCCCCAGGAACCTCAGCCAAACACACCTCTGCCGCCTAAGGCCTTTCAGCACGAGAGCTGACGCGGCCGCTTCCGAGAGCCGAAATGGGCAACGTCGGTGCAAATATCTTAGTTGCTGCAACGGCCCCTCTGCAAAAAGCTCTTCACCTTTTGTGGGCCCAATGGAAAGCCGACTTGCTTTTCCCAAAGTTAAAGTCTAAGGATCCGGTCTGCCTTTTGTAGGGGAACCCCCTAATCGCGGTGCTGAATAAGGACAAACAAAGGAAATGCGCATTTTGGGGTGTCCGCTAACAAAGACAAACCCAAATGGGGTCCCCACATTTCTAGAGAAAATGAAAGCACGCCGTCACGAACTGGGACGTGTTGTAACTAAACACCTAAAATGGACCTACAACTATAACTTGCTTTGGCCTTTATCACCCTTCTTCCCTTTTATGCAGGACCTCTGTATTTGTGTAAGGCTGATCCCCCTTCTTTCCGCCCTTGTTCCAGTAGACCACCCGGACTACTCGGGCATTGGACACTGAATTGAACACATCTCCCGGGTTGCTCGCCCATGAATGCACCTGGAGCACATCCTTCAGGCGCAGCACCGGCACGTCTTTCCGGAGATCTGCGCCGCTTGCACGTCACACGTCGGCACGCGCTTAGGCCGCAGGCTTGGCGTTATGGGGGCAGTGCTATCTTCGGGACCATACGAATCAGGGCTGGTTCCCTTTCTAGCCCCTCCAGTAGAGAGGTTAGAGTAAGGGTGCCCTTTTCTCTGTGGTCCATTCTTGTTGGGGAACCCATGCTGTGGATGGACGAAATCCATTTCGCACCACGGTTCAGAAACCCCACGGGATGATATGATTCCCTTGCAAATGCAAACAAGCAATGGTTTCAAAGCGCAGGATTTGATCCATCCACAGTACTAATCAGGGCTGGTTCCCTTTTCATAAGACAATGATCCGTTTTCCGGAGATGCTTTGATTAGTAGGGTCCTTCGGATTCGTCCGAGGTTGGCATTATCTCCTAACATGGGGCAGACGATATCCCACACTTGTCGCACAGGGCCCTCGGATCTGGACCCCTAGTTAGAATCACCCTAATTAGCTGGATGCAGGGACTCATCCGCCGGGAGAACGAGGACTTTCCCTGACAGAACAACCGTGCCTCCCAAACGTGCAGATGTCAGAAAAACAGGTGAGGGACTGCCGAAACCTCTCGCTTGGCCTTAGTAGGATCTTGAGGTTATCGGTTTTGGGGGGGGTCCCTATCGTTCTACAGTGTTTCAACACACCCGCAACATTTCAGTACCAGGTAGTACGCGAAGTACAGTTCCGCAGCTCCAGCTCGAACATGGCAACTTTGTAGTACAAGTCTAGTACGCGAAGAACACCTCCGCAGCTCCAGTTCACAAACCCCAACTTTGTAGTACAAGATAGTACAAGTGTAGCACGCGAAGTACACTTACTTCCGCAGCTCCAGCTCGGAAATCACGACTTTGTAGTACAAGTCTAGTACGCGAAGAACACCTCCGCAGCTCCAGCTCGAAAATCGCAACTCTGTAGTGCAAGTGCACGCGATGTACACCTCCGCAGCTCCAGCTCGAAAATCGCAACGAAGGTCACTTCTGCAGCTCCAGCTCGAGAATCGCAACTCTGTACTACAAGTCTAGTACAGTACGCGAAGTACACGTCCGCAGCTCCAGCTCGAAAATCGCAGCTTTGTAGCACAAGTACGCGAAGTACACTTCCACAGCTCAAGCTCGAAAATCGCAACTTGAGGGTTATCGGTTTTGGGGAGGTCCTTGCAGGGTTTCGTGCAGTTCGGACATGGAATTCAACCCCTTTTGATAAATTGGTCTTCGTAGGTTTTGGCCGTGGCTCATGTGTATAAAAATAATATGTATACATGTTGTTTTAAAGAACAAGTCGAGAACAGTGAAGCAGTATTTTTGAGATGGGAAGTGAACAAAACAACTAGAAACCCATGCAATACTTACCCTCCACCAAACTTGGAAGACCCGCAGACCTGCAAAGGCCAGCAACATCCAGAGCCGGGAGATCCATCCTTGAAAACGAGTGGAACAGAAACCATGTCATGTTGCGAACAAAAGCAAGCGACATCCTCAAGCCAAATGAGAGGATGCGGAAAAAGAATGGGACCCCGACACCCCTCAGCTTCTGCCTTTTGAGAGAGAATCACCAAAGGGTCCAAAAAAGGCATGCGCTTTTTGACAAACTATCCTTGAACAATATCTCTTGTCCTGTATCCGTTTTTGAGGGTAGATGGTTGTGGCTCAAACCATGGGGGTGCCATTTTGGCACCCTGGTAAATGGAAGCAATACCACCTCTGCGTAACCCCAAGCTCATGTTGAGCCACTCCTGTTTTTGTTTTAAATATTTTTGGGCCGACACCTGCCAGAAACGACGCAGAATACTTGCTACGGTCGCCACTGTCGCCACACCAGGATTTCGTCAAACTGGTAAAAAGGAACTCAGGTATTGCCCCCAGAAATCAAAGCCGACCACCTTCTGGGGGCCACTCAAAGGGGTTGCCCATCTGGTCGCCACACCCGGCGCTTCGACTGGTTGCTTTTGGTTTTTGGTCATTCGGCGCGAGCCATCGGAGAGGCTGGCAAGGCCCCGGTGAAACTCCGGAGGCTCATTGGCCTGAGGCGAGGTGCCGGCGGATCGGTTGGGGAAGCCGAAAAGGAAACCACTTAAAGCGAGGTACTTGTTAAATGGTTAGTAAGTCCGGAAATACTTATGACCATGGTAAGTTGGGTTTTAACCATAGTTGCCCCCATTTTGGGGACCACCCACTTCCAGGTGCTGATGCCCCCTGGCAAAAAACAAAGTATCTTTACAGTAGTGATATCTGTCCTGTAAAACCAACAAGGGAAAATAAGAAGTGTTCTTCGTGGGCAAGCTCGATATCTTACTTCCTGTGAGCGGATTGGCCACGAAAAGTAATCAAACTTGCTGTTTACCACTAACATGATCTTCCCAAGAAGGTTAAGTCAATCAACTCAGGGAGTCAGATTTTTGGGGAAGCTCAGAAAGGAAACAAAACGGAAAAAAGCTCCCACCCGTTCGACACATGCCCAATTCCAAGTTGGTGATCTGTTGGGTGAACGTAGATGGCGCCCGTCTATTTGGGGTTCACCGTTCTCCTAAACTTGTGGACTACCAAGGGGCTAGTGATTACTTTTACTGCTGTACCCAGGGGCAGCCCGTTTGGTGGCAAAAGAACTGGGACCCTGCGGGGTTGTTGTTGAAACAAGAGATGCCCGACTGAGTTCCTTTTGATTTCGTCAAACCAGCCCAAAACCATAGTCCGTGCAGCCAAGCAAAGGGACCACTGAACAGCTGAGGAAAATCACAATTGATTTCCCTTGGACAAGGCTTGCCCAAACCACCACCGGAAAAGCTGGTTGGGATATAGAATACATCTATGCAGCATAGAGCAACTATATGACCACTACAAAACCACTGTATCAGTGGTATTACACCCGTGTTCCTCTGGGAGTGGTTTCGCGGACTCGGACATATTAGAGTAAAAGCGGGTGCCTCTTGACTCTCAACGGCTTGCATGGCCGCTGCACGTTTGGGCAACCCTGCGGAAACTAGTGACAGGGAAAAACCAAGAAACTAACAAGTATGCCAAGCGAAGGTGCCTTGGGTCACTTTGGGATTGTGGCCCGATTGTGGCCCGATTGCTGGTTCGAAGCATCGGTTGGTAATTTGATACTGTGGATGGACGAAATCCTGCACCACCCAAGAATCCCTGGAATGATATGATTCCCCTGTAAATGCCAACAGACGTTATGGCTTCAACCATGGTTTCAGAAAGTGGTGATGACAGGAAGTGAGGTGTGAACTGGTCAAGGGTAGGCTCATTCTCCACAATTGTCGAAACCGTCCGCATGGAAAGGGCATCCGATCAAGCACGGCATGATGACATCGTAGCTGACAGCTGCAACCATAACCAAACATGGTTGCAGAAGGATGGCTACTGGGGCAAGCGTCCTTGGTCAAGCCAAGCCACCCATCACGCCGAGAGAGATGCGATTTGCCCTCGATCCGGAAGCCTCAGGCAGGCACTGCCTTGATAACATCCACTTCGGGAAAAGAAGAGAACTGCCCCCCCTCCCTAGACTTCATCATGGGTGAGCTCTTGGTCTTTAGGCACTCGCATTGTTCAATCAGCCGCCAAATGGGTTCCTTTGAGCCAACTGACCGAGGCAACCTGCCTAGCAGGCCGGCATAAGTTGGACCCTTGCAGGAAGCAAAAGTGCAAACATGAAGTTTTGTTGGGGGCCCACCCCGCTCACTCCTCCCCATGCCTGTGCAGCCAAAAGGCCCAGCTTCAAATGGCCGTGGCATTCTTTCCCCACCGCGGTCAGCGGAAACCAGCCCACCACGGTGCCGTCGTTGATCCTGAGTTTAAACACAAAAGTCTGTGAGGCAACTCCTCTTGAGCCAAAAATTGGAGATACCTCCTGAACTGGAGACTCGTTTAATCATTGATTGGGTGACAAATGTTGGCCCCAGATTAATAAGCCCCTGTCTATTCATATGGGGGTGTCCGAGGGTTTAGTGGGGAATCATTACGTTTGGAGGGGACCCCACCCCGATATTCAAAAAAAGCGGTTGATTAATCTGGGGTCAACATTAAATGGGTTCCTTTCACGTGCTTTCCCGAAGGGCCCTTGTTGATGCCTCGCAATTTGCCAACTTTGCTAGACACCACTTAGGGATTGTATGTCAAGAGGCACTTAGTTCCCCACTCAGGCGACTGGATATGCAAACGCAACAGCACTAAGAACCACAACTCGAAAGGTGTGGCTGGGCATTGCCAAGCCACCGTTGAAAACAAGAAGGAAGGAACAAACGTAGCCATGGCGTGTCTGGTTTGCCGGTTTCAAAGTGCAGCCAAGCTTCACGCGGTCTTCCACCAACAGCCTGAGACATCAAGCTGAAGAAATCCAGAACGTCGAATGCCGACGGTGTGACTTCCGTGGATTGGGAAGACACCGTCCGGGCTTTCTGCTTGCCGCGGCCCAGGCTCAGTTTAAAGACCAGGAACTTAAGGAGTGAGACTTATGTCATTTGGCAGGGTTTTACGAATAAGGAGTGAGACTTATGTCATTTGGCAGATGTTAAAGACCGGCCGGGAACATGCAAAGCAGTAGCTCGCTGTGGGAATTGGGGAGCTGATTCCCCATTGAACAACGGTCGTTCTCTGCCGTTTTCTAGGACCCACGAGAATGGACAAGTTACCCCTGGTGGAATGAGAAATTCCCACTGTGACACCTGGCAATTCCCTGGCATCTCTTCCGAAGCCCAACAGCGTTCCAAAAGGGGCTTTTTGGCATAGCAGGTTTCCCCACAGGTATGCCGATCCAGCCCCCAAAACACCATCTTTCCCATCTGTCTTAGGCCACCAACATTCGCTTGGCATGCCAGGTGGAAGCTAGCACCGATTTTACAACACTTTTCGGGTGGGTAATGTTTCAAGGCCGCACAAGTCGTCACAAGCCAGCCCAGCCACAAGGAAGTCGTAGAAAGTACCAACCACCCTAATCAGTCCCAATCAGGGGTGACTGGATTTCCCCCATTCTT